ATACCGGGCCGCGGCATAAGAAAGGTTGGGGATCACTGCTATAGAGAAAAGGACTTTTACTGGAAATTAAAGTGGTAGTATCAAAAGAATTCAAGATCTGAGGCATTAGGTACGAAAATCACATATACAAAGTGATGGTAACGTTCCCACCCACAATAGTTCAAACTGGCCATCCAATCTGAGATGTGTCTTTTGTCATGTGGGGCATTTTCAGGTGCTGTTTCAAACATTTGTCTCGCCAGGACAGTTGACCTTGGCCTAATTTGATAAGAAGCTACAACTGCACAATAAACAAGTAAGCATAGTCAAGAAAGTTTTTCCAAGATTTACAATTTACCATCTCAAGCTTCCAGCACTCTTCCCTCCCCCCACAAAGCCAAATTAATTTTCCCTCCCCCCCTGTTTCAATGGCAGCCAAAAAAGACAAGCAGAAGAAGGATTCTTGAAGGCTGACAGTAATAATACAACAACTCCACAAAGTAATTGCTTATTAAAGTTCATTACTACAGATTGGTGACACTGAGGTCAGTTTACACTGGCAATTTATTTTGTATTAAATATCATTTTTTTGTTGATATATTACATTATTAGTAACTCATAAAGTCATTGTGTACGTCAGTCCTTCTTAATTTGATGTACTTTAGATGTGCAAACTGTACAATCCAGCATGTAAGTCAATATTATCTGGAATGGACCTGGTTGAGTGAAGCTTACGGCCAAAAGTCAGAAGGGAGGAAAAGCTGTTGAGGAAAGAGGTCTGTGTAGCAAGGAAAAAACAAGCCAGAAAAAAACCCCATCCACAACATAGTTTCATTGTTTCAATTTTGTACACATTATAAACGGTGCCTAAAACCATTGCCACTTGTAGACAATGGCAATACAGACCATACTAATCACACACAAGTACCCAAAAATATAGAAAATATATTTAAATCAAATTTATTCCTGTGCCCAAGATGAATAGTCGGCTAATATACTTTGTAAAGATGTGACAAATAAATATGTAACTAATTCTATATTTAAAAGAAAATGTCCCAATGCAATGCTCTATTCTATAACATTTAACTTTTCTCTAAATGAGATCTTTTTTGTCTGATTGGAAAATATTCATGAACAAAAACTTCTGATGATTCATTTAGAAACATTATAAAATATACTTGATTAATGGCATCACATATTTCCTAAACCGAGACCTCTTATATTTGTATTTTTTGTTTTAAATTAGCCATATTTCAGGTATCCATATATACAATGGCTTCTCAAATGTGTTGCTACTGAAGCACTTAAACCCACTGATGTTCTCCATGAAAGGTCAGAGATTATATCAGTGACTATTAAGATATGTTGCTATGTGATATCTAATTGGGAGCTGATTCTTTTAAAGAAAGGAGAAATGGGAACATTCAGTGCAGTTTTCAGAAGTGAAATTAAGCTGAAATACAGTAAGCCTTTGAGTAATGAAATAATATGGGCTTTCTTCAGAAAACCAACTAACAGGATTTAAGACATTAGGGTTATTTGAAAACTTTGCTTCAATGGATAGATGACCAGGCAAAGACTAACTCCTCCCTGTAATCTTGAAAGATTACTGCCAATCAGTGTTTAATAATATTGGGCTACCAGAAGTATGATGGGTCTGCTTTTTTGAGATCAACTCAGCATTGATCCATTTAGGAATAGGAATTTACCAACCAGCTTACCGCCAAAGTTTGATCTTGTTGATTGAGAGAGAGTGACTGGCCCAATCACCTCTCATGGCTAAGGTGGAACTAAACTTCAGTCTCCTGATCTCTAGCCTGCCTAATTTCTTTACCCACCCATTTCCACACGCAATTTATTTGATCTAAAGGCCATGACATGAATTTAAATGACTCTTATCCTACTGATATTTTGAAGGGTCCCAAAGACCTGGTTTTTTGTCTAGGCCTTTGGCAAAGACAATTGACATCCCTTTCTTTTCTCCCCCCCCCCCTAATGTTGCTCTTTTATCTTGTGTTGCTCTTGAATTTTGTATTATTCTAGGTTTTTAATTTTTTTTTAAAAAAATGGTAACAATGGTTAACAAATGCTACAATTGGGAATCACTGGAAGTCAGGCAGCATATAAATTTAATAAATAATAATAACCCCAGATCCTTGGGAAGGACTTGATAAGTGGATAAAACTGACAAATCCAGTTTAAACAGTTTGCTGACAGTGCAACAAACAAGTAGACAGCAAAAGAAAGAAAGAAAGAGCTAGAGAAGATAACAAAATACAAAAACCTGCAAATAGAAGTAGAACAACCGTGGCAAAAGAAAGCAAAGATGGCACCAATAGTGGTAGGTGCAATATGTTTATGGAGATTCTCAATCATAGTTGAACAATAGGAAACAAGATTCAGCAGTTCATCTGCATTTAAAAGATAAATGCTACTCTTTTGAAGACAGCAAAGACCACATTTTGTACAGAGAGGACTGTTGATTTGAAAGAGGTGTCAATGAGGCCAGTTATGTAAAAATTTTACAGCCTTTTTTCAACAGAGAGATCAGTGGTGGTATGCCCAGTTCGGCCCAGTTTGACTGAACCAATAGTAAAAAAAAAAAAAAAGCCAACTGAGAGGATAAAAGACTGAAAAGTGCATGGGAGAGTGGGAGAGTTACTCCTAGCTTTTCATTTCTTCATCCTCTCAGCTGATTGGCTTGTTAGGAGTGCATGCATTAGGGGGTGCACATGCGCATGCGTGATCACCCACCGAGCCAGTAATGACTAAAGTAGGATCCCACTATTGAGAGAGATAACACATCATCTATCTTCAGTCTACATCACAGTCCTTTCAGCAGTTCCGAAAAGGCTCCACACCCATTTGCACTACTCAGATGAGCCTGATAACACAGATAAACCTCCAGGTGGCCTCAATGACTCTCTAAAAGAATGCAAATGATCAGCTGTCTGCAAAGAGTATAAATACTTCCATTCCCCACCATCCAGTCAGAACTGAAGATAAGGATAGCTTGGATAAGAAGCAAAATGACTTCAAAGAAAAACAAGAAAGTCCACTTTCTTTTGAAAAAGCACCTTTGGGACTTGGATGCAATATAAAAACAGCTGGAGAAGAACTTGAACACATTGGCATCCACAAAATCAATATCAGTCAATTACAAAAGACAGCTGGAACGCCTAACATCCTGTGATGATCCTTGTAACATCATCAAACAATAACATCTGCCTATCCAAGGCTCAACAGGTGGATAAAAATTCCAAATCCCAATCTAAATATCTGGCTGATTGTGTGACCAACCATAATAATTGATTGTTCTAAAATCAAGAACCAAGTTACTTCCTGAGTAGCTGAAAGGCATTTATATGTAAATACCACTTTAGGAAGATAGCAGTATTAATAAAGCTAAACTGGCAGAAAGAAAGGATTCCAAAAATGTACACTTGGTGATCCTTCTATACATTTTTTTAAATTTTAAAACTAAAAATTATATCCTTGAAAAGACATTTTATGGGGAAGGGGAGGTGACATTTTGATAGATGAACTCTAACAATAATAATGCAAGAGAACAATTTTAAGCATATATACAGTTTTGTATGATGGATGAGTCTGCCTTGTTGATGATAGGTATAAGGAAAGCTGAATTGGTGAAATGTTCAGTTTCAATAAACAGGTAAATTGTTAAATAGCTCCTTTTTGTCAGTGATGCCCTTTTGTCTGAAACGGAGCTGTTCATGGACATCCTCAGTCATCTATTTAATCTGTTGGAAGAAATAGTAGCTTGTGACAACAAGCACCATTTTTAATTTGCTAAGAGCTTTAAGCACTTGAACACTATAGCCATTTCTAGGTTACAATAAGATTTCCGTCATGGCAGACAAATAACAAAATAACAAAATGTTGTTATTATACAGTTTGTACAAACAGCAAGTAACATTCCAGAAAGCTATTCATTATTTAAATGAGTTACTGACTATATATGGATGATCTCTCCCACACACAAACATAAAGCACACACATACGCAATTGTCTGCCTTACCAACTATTTCCAAACAATCACATATAGCAGGGGTCCCAAACTCCCAGTCCGTGGACCAAAACAGGTCTGTGGCATGCCAGGAATCCCATCAGTAGTATGCAGGCAGCACTCAAAACCATATCCAGTCCAGTCCATGGAAAAACTTTTCTCCATGGAACTAGTTGCTGGTGTCCAAAGGATTGGAGCCAGTGACATAATAGACCATAAAAATGGTATGTCCATCTCCTGCCAGCACAACACTATCTCACTGTTGTTCTTAATCCATAAGAATATACATAATGAAGAAATTCACATATCCAAAAGCTATGGCCAAAGCTTAACAGCCTATATACACTAGGATATTGGATATTCATACTGTAATATAAATCAACATTTTATAATATTAGTAATTATATTATAGTTGGGATTTTCTCTCTGTGTGTTTGTGTGTGTGTTGCGTTAGAAAATCAAAACCATC